TAACAATATCATATTAGTTTGTGAACTTATTGGACAAAGAAGTATTCCGTTGGATTCCGCCACAGTAAAGAGAAGAATTCCGGAAGTAGAAAAGTCTACAGGATCGGACATTCAGATATTTTAACAGCTAAGTTGACATTTCTATTTATATAATATTTCTTGTAAAATTGAATGATATATCTTGTTGATTTATTATTGATATTTGTCTTTTGTTGGCTTCAATTTATATGTAATTTATTGCCGTAACAACGTCAAAAGTCAAACGACCAAAAACATAATAGCACGAAGGCAAATAACGGGAAAACTAAAGTATAATAAACAGATTCACAACTCAGCACATAGAATTATAACTCAAGACCATCTTATTTAATTGTTGATGTAGACACTGAATATTTATCTATTGGGTCTCGGTTCTTACCGAGGAAAAATTTCAGAACAAGGACGAGATGTTCTTCAAAAAAGCCCTGGCTCATTGATGTTTTTTGCGCAGACACTTTTGACATTTTAAAATATCTTATTAGCAGCTGCAAGTTCTTGCGCTATTGTGTGAATTCAGAAATGTATACTCCATACGCGGGTGAAGTTGGAATATTGCTTTTAAGGTGAGGAAAATGTATAATTTCAAAATTGAAATCGTCTCGTTTGTTATAGATTCTGGTACTGAGATGCCCGCTGTTGACAAATTTGAGGTTAATGTCTAGAAATTGTGAAATATTGTTTACCGCAAAAATATTCGGTAATGATCATGCTTTTGCAAAAGACAATGTCAAAATTATGAAATTAGTTTATTTGTGCTAACATTCAGAAGAACAACATACACAAACTTCAAAGAAAACAAAATGCATTTTGCTACGTCAAACAAACAAAAAAAGTAAAGTGTAAAGATTGCTCTTCTGTTGAAAGTTAAATTTAATTTTCCAAATTCCACTTTTTATCTTAACTCCGAAAAACTGAAAGTGCGGAATTGTTGTATATTTTGTTATAATGACGTTATCACTCCATTCTTCACAAAAGAAGAATTTAACATCATTAAGTGCGGTATCGTCTCCATGAATGGAATGGATTTTGGTTTTCATACCACATATGGCACTGTTTACTGGACCGGCGTCACTCCACTTGCCGTAGGAGCCATATACGCCATGCCCAGGAGGATAGCTAAGGTCGAAGTAACTAACGCTATCTTTGAAATTTCTACATTTGAATTTGACATAGTTGGCACCTGTGTTATCACGTTCGACGGCCTATCAAACAAAAGAAAATAAACTGTTGTGATTTCATACCACTAAGCATGAATTTAAATAATCGATGCATATGGGACTGGTATGTTGCTATCCGTTAATTAAAAAGGTAGAATAGTTTGTCAGTGTCATCCTCTTTTGAAATCGGTTTCCGAAAGACCCAAGGTTTTGAAAGCCTAAAAAGTATAAAAGACCTCGTGTGGAACCTAACAGAATAGGCAAACGTCAAAGGTAAATTTTACATGGAATTGCAAACCTAATTTATGTATGATTATATCATCATAAAATATATATTCTGCATAAGTTTATCATATAGGAATTAAACACAAACTCAGTTGTACATGAACCAGTCAAGTAACAAATCATCAATCCATTTACAGTGAAATTAAACTATATATGAAATATCGGTTAGGATGTTTAATGTTCAATCAATACAGACCATGTCTAAGTCTATGTCGCCAACTCCCACTCCTCTTGAGGAATCATTCTATATAACCACGTTTTAGAAATTATCGTATTTAAAAGATGGAAATAGTTCTTCAGAGAGAAACTAAAAGAAAGGGAAAACCTTGCTAAAACATGATATAAATATATTTATTTGTAAAGGAGGTAGAAAACAAAAAAATGATTGAAGTAGGATCTACGGACAGATAGTTCCAGTAAAATTCCTTGAACGGAATGCTCGTTTGAATTAGTACCCTTAAATGACTATTTGTACTTATATTTGTGCTTGAAGAAGTTCACCTATAAAATTACTGAATCAGTTTAAAACATTATTGGGATGAATTACTCGGTAGTTTGCTAATTTTATTTCGATCTATTTACCAACAAGAATGACTTGAATATAACCTACTGGCCATGGTAAAATGAAAATAATTGTCTAGCATTTTAAAAAATGTAGTAAATACGAAAATGTAGCATCGATATTTGGTAGGTCAAAATCTTTCCTGTACATACATCAAATTGTCAGTCGATTCCTTTGTCAAGTATTTCCCATTCATAAAACTTTGTGTGATTTTGTCAAAATAGAAACTGTACCAAGAAAGACAAACAAATTTAGATCTGAAAATAATTTCCTTGATCGCTGAAACTGTGATGGCTCATAATGGGAGGTCCTTTTGATTTTTCTGGAAATCGGGAAGTATTTTGTAAATAAATAAATTTGATTCTTATTTTGCGTAAATATAAATTTGGCATAACAACGTATGATAAAAAATAAGAAATATTGTCATATTGTCTCATTTCTGAAAATCGGAACACAGAAATTAAATTTTATTAAAGATATACAGGAAAAAAATAGATACATGATAACTCATCGCCCAGCTTAGAATTACAAGTTTAGGTACATTACATATTTGTTGTTTTTCACAATGAATGTCATTGCTAATGTTTTTGACACGGGCTTATCTAATTTGGAAAGGAAATTGAATCAAAGGAAACAGATTGTTTTGCAAGTTTTTTTGTGTGTATTTTATCTACAATAAATCCATTTAGACATCTTATAGCTGTAGGTTTTGTACATTATTTATAACAATATCTGTTTAAACATCTGGTAGCTTAAGGTGACAAACAAACATGTATTGCATTTTTAAACCTAGTCGGCTTACATTATATTTCTGTACTTGTAGAGAGAATGAGGTCAGAAAGGTGTTTGCTGGACAAAGTGCTTCCCCAGTCCAATCTCCCCAATCTTACTGCCCGGAAATTGCTGTGATCACGTCCTCTACTGCCACAGATAATTTCAATAGCATTCACTGCTGTACTATATACATGTGGCCCTTCAACCTGTAAGTCAAAGAAAAAATTAACAGTTAATATTAGGTATGCATATATGATATACTGAAATAACGTAATGTTATACGTTTGTACCATTATCCAAATGTAGCTCTTCCATCTTTAAGATGAAATGAACAATTACAAACATGTATTTTACGATATCCTGATTTTAACATTCATTTTTGGATGCTTATGATTTGTTATGTTTAATATTTTTCTTCTGTCCTGTGTTGATGGACTCTGGCGATTTTGAGCTTAGAATATGTTAACGACCCTCGCCTTTTGTTGTAATTACTTCCAGATCGTGTTTTTATTTACTGTATAATCTAGTATATCCAAAAGTTTTTTTAATCAAGGATATACCTTAGGGTATTAATAGTCATGTGCCTAGTGAATTTGAACTTGCATTGGACCAATAATATACATGCATTAATACAAAATATTCTAAACTGATCTTTTGTTGGAATGGTGTCATATTGGTGATTTCTTCCGTATGTTTACTGAACCTAATAATTTAAGTTATCCAATAATTGGCTTCGAACATTTGTTACCAGCTGTGATGAGCAATATATTCGCGCATATCTTCCATCAAATTGTAACTTCTTTTTCTTAAATTTGAATTATTAAATTATAAGTTATAAACAAGAATAATGTTTATGTATTTTTTTTGTTCATCCGTGAAAAAACATGTAATTCACTGCAGAAAACACAAATACTCTCTGAATTGATAAAAAACTGGTATTGAAAAGTACAGTTTGGTAATACTAATTAAAAAAAACCCGTCATTTTTAAACACAAAAGGAGCCATTAATATAGTTTCTTCATTCTTTTCAGAGTTGTCAGATAATATCAGTGCCTTACTAAATGAATACTTTCATGTTTCCAGAAGAAATATACAGTAACGATTATTTCAAATTAGATAAGGAAATATAATATTTAGCTCACTGAATTTCCTAACATTCCTGATTTGAAATTAATGATGAAAAATTCATTTAGAGAGATTAACAACCGCAATCTTCAAGTCTTTATCAGTAAATTTAAATCCTTTTTTTTAGACTAACTGTTGAAGCACATAAAGAGATTTACAGCCCAGCTCAAGGGTGATGCGGATGTAGCGGTTGTAGTGGATTGGACGGCAAACTTGATAACGTATGAGAACATGGTGGATATGACCGGTTACCATCTCCTAATGAAACTACACCTACTTCAGATCTGGCCAGAATAAAATATTACAGAAACATTCTGGCTCATCTGGATGAGGGGAAAATAGCCAATAATATGTTCATCACAGCATGGGACGATATAACTAGTGTAAGTACCTTAGATAATACACTATTGTCCACAGCATTGGATGATAACCTCAGTCTGAGATGCTGTTACTATATTTACTAAAATTGTGAGCAATTTTAACAGTGGCTTTTAAAGATCTGCATCCTTCAGGGTCCTATTTAGAACATGTGTGAGATGTAAAATTCATTACTAAAACATTAATAATTGGTAATTACAGATTTTAAAAGGTTGAAGGTTATGTAACACAACACGATAGTTGGTTAACAGTTTATCTAATGCCAGTCTGGAACGGAGTCCATAACGGACAAGGTCCATAACAGGCGGTCCTCTTCAAAACAGTACAAGCAATAGTTTATATACACTTTCAGTTGAATATAACAGTTAATCAATATTTCTATTTCTTTGACAATAATAGTTTTTATTTAACAGACCCACAGATAAATATCTATCAAGCTGACTTTAATTGACATGTTTTTACCAATCTGGACAATTTATTGTTGTGAATCTTGCGTATGTCCAGTTCATTAACTAATTATTCATTACTAAAACATTTATAATTGGTAATTACAGATTTTACTCTTACTCTAATTATAATAACTGATATTTATTGTGATTATCATCACTGGTCAATGATTGAATGATCTGATATTTTATTTGTAAGATGAACCTGATTCTAAAACATTTGATGTAATTCTAATGATAACGTTACTTAGAAACCTGACAAACTTGACCCCTCCTCATGGTGGATATGACCGGTTACCATCTCCTAATGAAACTACACCTACTTCAGATCTGGCCAGAATAAAATATTACAGAAACAATCTGGCTCATCTGGATGAGGGGAAAATAGCCAACAATATGTTCATCACAGCATGGGACGATATAACTGGTGTAAGTACCTTAGAATAATACACTATTGTCCACAGCATTGGATGCTAACCTCAGTCTGAGATGCTGTTACTATATGTACTAAAATTGTGAGCAATTTTAACAATGGCTTTTGAAGGTCTGCATCCTTCAGGATCCTATTTAGAACATGTGTGAGATGTAAAATTCATTACTAAAACATTTCGAATTAGTTATTACAGGTTTTAAAAGGTTGAAGGTTAGTCATCAGCAACAAGTTTCATAATGGGCTAAACACGTTACACAGGTAAACCAATTTTTGATATTAACATCACCTGAACAATAAATTATTTAATCACGTTCAGTCCACCAGTCAATTTTCAGAGTTATCCACTGCGATAAATTCAGTACTGTTCATACAATTCGCTTACAGTCAATTCAGTACTATTCACATGTGTTCAGTAGCTTTTCAAAAAATTCAGTATGATGTTGATCCGTACAGGTAAATAACAACTACTTAAAAGTCAGACCAAAGACTGACCAGATCTTGATTGACTGCATGCTATTTGTCTGAGCAGTACTGAAATAACTGCAGTGGATAGATATGAAAATTGACTGAAAGACGGAAAGACGGAAAAAAAATGTTCAGTTTTTGAAGAGCTGTTCAGATAAAAACGACCGTTTTAGATCAAAATTCGTTTACTAGTGTTAAGATTAGGTTGATACAACCACTATGAAGGTTCGTTACTTTAGACAGATAAATGCACATATTGCAGTTTAATTCGTTTGTTGAGTGCTGGCTTCTCTCTTGTCATTCTCAATCAATGGAAATGCAAAATGAAAGACATGATTAAATACCAGCACAGAATGAACACTTTCATTGTGTGTTAATTTACGTTTTTTGATTGAGTTAAGCCTTCCAATTGATATTTTATAGTGTGCTTTTCCATGTTGTGATGTTATACTATTGTTTCAGAAAAGGGAGAAGGTTTGGTACCATTAAAACATTTAATCCCGCTGCAAATGTTTGCACCTGTCCTAAGTCAGGAATCTGATTACAGTAGTTGTCGTCTGTTTATGTAGTTTATACGTGTTTATCGTTTCCCGTTTTTATATAGATTAGACCGTTGGTTTTTCCGTTTGAATGGTTTTACACTAGTAATTTTTTGGGGCCCTTCATAGCTTGCTGTTCGGTGTGAGCCAATGCTCCGTGTTGAAGGCCGTACCTTGACCTATAATGGTTTACTTTTATAAATTGTAATTTGGATGGAGAGTTGTCTCATTGGCACTCATACCACATCTTCCTATTTCTACTTCTCTGTTGACATCATGGTAATAGACAACACACACATTAGTATAAGTGAAACATTGATATATAATAGTCATGCTTTATTGACTTTGAAACTTTGGCACTGTTTACTTGTTTCAAAGGTTGATTTTTATGTTAAAACATTTGCTTTATTCTATCAAAATTACATACAGGCGCGACGTTTCTCTTTGCACAGGATTATTATGCCATTTTCACAAATATAAAATGTTAAGTAGTTAATGACTTTCATTAAATTCCATTTGACGTTTAACCTGAAAGGTCAAGATTCCTACAATTTAGTTAATATTAGAAGTATTCGATGCATTTTGTGTTGAGAATAGAAACACGTTTTTATTGAAATACATTTTTTCTTAATTACTTGCTTCTTATAATTAATAATTTGTTGAATATGAATTAACTAAACTTGTCCTCACCTTTTACATAATAATTCAGGCTATCGGCAGGTTAGGTGGACAACCAATGAAGCAAGTGTGTGATAACCTGAAAACAAAGACATTAAACCAGACAAACCAAGAAATAATATTGGACATTAAACGTTCTTATGATGAAATGAGGGAATTAAAACAACCTGTGGAGAGTTTGAAAATAGCAAATGCAGATCTAACAGTTGAAGTAGAGAAGTTAAAAGATACAGTTCCATGGAATGTAAGAGGTAAACATGTAAATGTCAAGTATTTTAAAATTTGAACTATTCAAGCACCTGTATCCTTTTTGTGCTTTATCATGTTTATAACTGGCACATCTCCAAGCCATCCCCATATGTAGTGTACATATGATCTGTTTCACATTTGTAAAATAGCTTGTGTATTATTTTCAAAACAACAGATAGAAAAACAGTTTATTGTTTAAAAAAACAATTCCTTATGTCAGTTTTCAAGGTTATCATGTGTTAATGTATCTATTTTATTAGGGCTCCATATTTTGGATGCGGTAGCCCTATAGTTTTCTTGTTTTCCTTCTGTATGTCTTTCGTCTGTCCGTCAATAGTTTTTGTAAACGCAAAAAACTCCAACCCTATAGGTAGGACATCAATGAAATTTTGCACTGTTGTTCAAAGTATCATAATATACATAATCAGTTTTGATGAAAGTTGGCCATTTAGTTTTGGAAAAAACGATTTTTGGTTAAAAATCACAAAATTTGAGAAAAGTTTTTATCATCGCAAAAAAATCAAAAAGGCCAATGAATATGTGTACAGTTGTTGAGCATAATGTCGATGTGCATATCTTTTCGAAAGGATGATTTCAACTTCACCACTTGGAACTCTTGGTTCAATAACTTTCTTGTAAGCAGCCAACCTCTATCAAGAAAATTATGATAGAAAATGCAAGCTCTGGAATATCGTAACAACTGGGAGATATATACTTTACTAGAAAAAAACCCGCGCATGCGGCTTGAAGACTACTTGAAATGTTTATGGTGATACACAGCTTGGTTTCGTGTTTTTCAAACTGTTTTTATGCACTTATGCATTATATTAATAGTTTTTATTAGTTTATCAGTTCTTCTTCCATAGGAGTTTGAATGTCCAATTAGTAGCTTCTGTCTCGGTATTACACATGTGCATCTAGAATGGAGGAAATAACTCTGAGAAGAAGAAGACAACCTAGAACACTGATGATTAAAACATTTCTCAGTGGTGCTAGTTTGTAGTATTTGATTTTTTTTCGAAAGGTGCGAGTCAAGTTCTGTCTCTGTGTGATACGGGTGCTACAATAACGGAGGAAATAACTCAGAGAAGACGAAGACAATCTAGAACTCTCTGATGATTTAAAACATTTCTTCAGTGGTGCGACTTTGTAGTATTTTTTTTTCGAGTGGTGCAAGTTCTGTCTCTGTGTGACACGGGTGCTCCGAGAAAGGAGGAATTTACTAAGAGAAGAAGAAAACAATCTAATGATTAAACACATTTCTTCGAGATTGTTATATTTCTTTTTTTTTGAGTGGTGCGAGTTTGATAAAGTGATGCAAGTTAATGATTAGTGAGTGTTTGAGTGGTGCGAGTTGGCCGTCGACTGAGCATGCGCGAAAGTGGTTAAGACACGGATCGATAACGGTCTCCGAATTTGAGTATTTTCTCAAACATTGAACTTTTCTGTGGAAAAAAGATTGTTTCAAAGACAAATTTATGAAGTACAAAACACTACATTTATACGTCATATCACAAATATTTCCGAATTTGTATGGTTTCAGAGGATTTGCGGCTCAAAGAAATCGGTCTCTTCCCTTAGTAGTATAGATATGCAGGTGCTGCTAAAATGATGCTACATAGAAATGGAAAGTTCACAATTGGGAAGCTGAAGTATTCTCTTTTGTCGAAATTCTTTGTTCTTAACCGACCCTCATTGTCAATTTCTAGATGTAAGTCAAGATATGAAATAGACTTTACTGCATGTATCTTTTGTATCCTTTATTTCAAGTTTGATGGTATAGATGCGTTCAACATAGTCATCAAACTTTGAATTATTTAGTGAGAGGTCAGCATCTGTATAGCAGAACGTGAAATTAAAGGATAATGCTAGCTCTTTTTATCCTTCATAAGAAGCTCATGTAAGAATTCATGTTCTACCGTCTAAAAACTTAGTAAATCAAAAGCGACTGTCCCTTCTACTAAACCGCCAAAATATGTACAATAGTATACAAAATTGGAGAAAAAAATGAAAGTTTCATCGTGTTTCGACCTGGAATATTGAACAAGTCTGACTCATCAATTTAAAAAAAAAGTAGTTTATATGTTTATGAGACAGCAACCTCATAACAGGAGAATGCAAAAATATCACTGAAACATCGGAATTATGTTAAAGTATAAGTAAAGAAATAAACAGATGCTGATTTCCTTTGCAAATGGTATTGAGGCCAATTACAAGATGAATAAAAAGAGTAGGCTATATATCAATGAAGCAACATAAAAAAATCAAAAGGCGACTGGAGGACAATGTCTATATGACTAGAGACAGTTACTTTTCAATAAAACCAATAAAACTCAGTTAAGTTAAAAGAAAGTCTTTAATTAGCAAAATTTTATTATGTATTAAACTTGGTTGCTACTCATGCTTTTAGTTGAATCATTTTCACCTAGCAAAGTTATGTTTGTGAATATCCCACCGTAAGCAATCACATGAACTTCCAAATAATTTAAATAAAGTCCGTAATATGTATTCAATAACTTGCATTTTAGCACAATTCAGTCAGGTGCTTGTGGAGTGGAAGAACAATGACAAGATGTTTGTAACAACCAGAGCTGCCAAACATGTACTGACATATATAAAGGAGAACCGTTGTGTTACTATTAGTGACATTGTCAAGTTTTATAACCCGAACCAGAAAACATTGTTTGTTATTGCTGATTTATGTAGTAACTATTCTTTAAAGCAGACTGACATGAAAGTTTGGGAACCAATCATTCAACCAATAAAAAAGATTCTTTCAAAAAAACGTGCTAAGATAGTTGTAGCATGTCGATAACAAGTGTATCAGGATGACAAGTTTGAATGTTTATCAATTTTCAAATCATGTGTATGTAACCTTTTATCAAATAGCATGTGCTGATCATTAGCTGAGAAGGAGTTAATAGCTGAAGTATATCTTAAAACTGAAGCTCCTGATATTTCCGATTTTTATGATCTAGATGATTGTTTCCCACTTTTATGTAAATTGTATCAAGAAAATCCTTCACTTAATATCAAAAATGTCTTCCATAAGCCTTTTTTCTGTTTATGAAGTAGAGATTGACAATTTACAGAAAAAATGATTGTGCAGTAAATACTGTGCCTTGGCTTTATGTGTCATGTTTAACAAAAATTTGAAGGAAGAAACACTATCAGGGGAGACAAATGAAGAAACAAAAGCTATCATTGAGAACACATGTGAGGCATGTAAACTGGACAGAGGAATATCAAGGCTTACATTACAGGATGAACTGAACTCATTTATACATACATTCCTGAAAAAGGAACAAGGTATTTACAGAACTATTCATGACAGAATATTTCTCTTTCTAGTGTTCTACTTTGGACAGAAAATACTCCATTGTTTGATAAAGAATGCACATATAAGTTTAATCAAGGAAAGATTTTTGTTAGACAAACAAGACAATGTGGATCCGTTCATATCAATTGTGACTCCTAAATATCATCAAATGTACATACAAAGAATGATAGACGACTGGTGAAAGGGTGATGTCAAGGAAGTGTTTTGTAACATAAATTTGAAGATACCTAAGTTCAGACAGAGATTTCTCCGTCGTTTGAATGGACTGAACTCATCTAACCAGAAACAATTAGCACATAGGTCCGTGTATATTTGCGTCCATTCGTTTTTCATTTTGAAATATCAAAAACAAAAAACAAAAAACGAGAGTGTTTTCATTTTTCGTTTTTGATTTCTCTAAAACCAAAACGGAAAACGAAAGTGTTTTCATTTTTTGTTTTTGATTTCTATAATACCAAAATGAAAATCTAAAGTGTTTCCGTTTTTCGTTTTTGATTTCACTAAACAAGAATTTTGTTTTTAATCTTAATTATTTCTCGTTTTATAATGTACAATGTTTTCCTTTCTTGTTTCACAGTCATTGATAGTAAATAATGCCAATGTAAACACCCCGGTGTTCTTTCAACATAATGTAGACAAAATAGATCGCCTGACTTATGAATTGAACTACGGTGATAAATGAATCAAAGCCTTTCAAATTACCTTGTTTATATCTTTAATAAAAAATAAATTATTATATTTAAATATTAAACGAATCATAAATTTAAATTGTACAATACAATATTATGTAAAGATGGTACAAATAAATAGATTGATTACAACATCACATTTACAAGGGAGGTTACTACTTTTTAAAACTTATAAGAAAACTACCCCGGTCGTTAAAGTATACATGCACAGTCACTGTGGTTATCAGATCTTTAATCGAAGATAATGTCGACGGATGCAAAAGACTTTATCAATCTAAACAATAAGGGTGCGTGATCTTTACTTTTAAATTTAGAAAGGTTGATCTCAGATGATTAGAATTCATAACCAAGATCTTTTATACGAAAATTCAGGACGATAATGTGTTTTGCTTGATCAGTTGATTGAAAAACAAATTTCCGCAATTTCACAATTCAAACCGGGATTAGCATTCAATCATTTTGCCATTCGGAGCATACTCGGTATTAGTTTTGCTTATTTTTGAAAGCTATATGGTGACCTTGACTAGAGCCTGGGTGTGGATGGGGGTTTACGGAATAGAGAATATAGGGCAAAAAATTTGAATAATAGAGACAATGGACCAAGAAATAAAGAAAAAATAGAATAATGAGGTGTTAAAATATAAAGAGAACAGAATAATTGGCAAAAAGTATAAAGAAATAAAGAATAGAGAAAAATGGCCCGAAACACTGATTAAAGAATAGAGAAAATCGGCATAGAATATCAAAGAATACAGAAATGAAGAACCCCGTATCCAGTCCATCATCCTAGTTGCCTAAACCAACGTTATTTTGTCTCCGGTAGATTGTTATTGGTTATCATACGTTTTCTTTTTATTTCTATGCCATCAATTAAGACATGAGCTTTCATAATTTGCCAGCTAATTACATTATAAAAAAAGACTAAGCCGAACATCACTCTGATTTTTTTCTCAAGTAGACCTCAGCTACCTACCATACACCATTACCGAAAAGTTAATAAAAAAAATCTACGGCAATACTAGGTGCAAAGGAAAGTTGGGTAGCTGACGTCTACTAGAAAAAAATATCCAGGGTGTTATTCGTCTTAAGTTTTTTTTTTTAAGTAGGTCCAAAGTTGGGGTCCGCCGACACCCAACCCACCCCTTACCGAAAATTTAATGAAAAAAAAAT